ACGATGGGAGTTAGAGCGAGCTACTCCGTTGTCCCAAATATTTTGTCTGGTGGCCATGCAGGAAATTGAGCAAGTACTTCAGTGGTGAGATTAAGAGCTTCCAACAGACGGTGTCAAATTAATGCGTGCTGGAAAATTCATGGTCGTAGAGTAACAAATTATCGTCTCAGTGTTGTATAAAAGTTTAGCACACACATATATGAAATAGAAAAAAATGGTGATGACTCTAGAAGTTTCTATGTGGAAAACCCGTTAAAGAAAATCACGAGGCCTGGCCCAGTTCCAGAAATCCACTATTGATTGATGATTACAGAAATCTCTTATCCCACAGACGGGAAAGGGTAACTATATTTCTCAGATTACAATGTCGACTGACGACGACTGGTTAGTGGTGATTGATGAAGGTAGGCGGAGGTTGACGACGGTCAGCGGTGATAAACGACTGAAGGCGGTGGTCGACTGAGGTCGGCCGTGATCATCAACGATCGACGAAAGTCGACGACGGAGGTCGGTTGTGGTTGATGGTGGTCGGCGGTGGTCGACGACAATTGGTGGTGATGCTGAGTTGCAGCTTCTCCTCAAGACCTCAAGCTCTCTCTAAACTTCCTCCCCTTCATGAGAGGGATGGCGGCTCTATTTATAGTGTTCTAGGTGCAATTAATGCATGAATATTAATCATTTTGATCAGACCGTCCGGAGAGCTTCATCTGATCAAACAATATTTAATGGACATTTGAGTACCTTGACGATATTGGAATTGCACAATCTTGAGCTCGTTGGATTCGTCTTGTTGAGACGCTCGATTCGACTTGACATATTTGACAGCCGTTTGACATTCCAAATGTATTCATAAATCTTCTATCTGTGCTTTAATGACTTGATCTGGGCTTGATTTGACTTGGATTTGGCTAGTTTTCAAATCATTAGGTCTGTCTCATCGAACTGGTCAATTTAACTATAAGTTTGTTGAAATCGGAGCTCTTGATGACTTTTAATTAAGATTTGAATGTTTCTTGTTTAAAATATCATCTCGAGAATTGTGTCATACCTCAAGATTCGTGTTGGATGATGAAATTTTGTTGGTGGTGTATGAATCGCACGTGTGTCACAAATACTAATAGTGGTGCTATCTTTGGAAAATCTGCAAGCTTTCAGTATTCTTCTTTTAACCTCATATAGACACCTTCTCTCTTTAACGACCTAATTTTTTCATATGAATTCTGAGTTCCGGTAGCAATTGACAACATTGAGGGGTTTCTGACCGCCTACAAAAGTGCAACAGAGATAAATCACACAGTAAAAACAAAATTTAAAATTGTAACAAAGCATAAAAGAATGAAAAAAACTTTTTTCAGCTATTTGGGGATTGGAATTCAAATGATTAATGAAGCTGGAATTTTGATTTATAGGCAGCTTGGATGACCCATGTTTATTAGGGCAACCGCTATTATTCAATTTATAGGCCCAATGACAAGTATATATATATATTTTTTTTATTTATTTATTGACTGATCTATTGTCTTTTTAAAAATTGCAAGATTATGAGTTCTAGATATAAAGAGAAGTTTGGCCAAGTGATGCGCCGGTGTGGGCTACCGTTCTTGCTACTCACGTCACGCCAGCCACATAGCTATGGGAGACAATTTTACAGGTGCCCGCGGTGGGCACAAGGACATGACGACTGCACTTTCTTTAAGTGGGTCGACAGTACGTCGATTTATATGATATCCCAACCGGACACCGCTGTTCAGAGTTCGTCATTATCACGATTTCAGAACACAACTTCTGGTTCGAGCGCTTCCATTTGTACAGTATCCCAGTCGAACAAGTTTGCTCACGGTTTTGAAGTGTCAGAGCTGGGCAGCATGGGATGTGATATGCTACTACATTTTAAAGTCAACATTACAATTTTTTTCTTATTGTTTTAACATGTTATTTTTCTTCTTTTTTTTGGTCTCATTATTATACATATCAGTGTGTTAAGAAGTAATTTATTTTTTTAGGTAACTGTACTTCTGTAATGTGATCTGAAATATTTAAGTGATAAATATTTTGTATTTTCATGTCATAACATTTGAACTTTAATTTTAATATTATTTTGTATTTTCATGTTCTACAATCTTCACATTTATCCACACTTTATGATTATATTAAGAAGTTTGGTAAATTTGTAAAAAATTATGCAAATCAGTTGTTTACAAAACGCACAACCAAACAACTGCAGCTTATCCAGAAAAGGAGCAGTTTGGTCATTTATTCAGAATCAGCTGTTCTCAAAACGCACAAACCAAACAGACAGACAACTTATACAGATCAGCAACTTATCACCAGATTATCAGCATAAACAACTTATCACCAGATTATCAGCATAAACAACTTATCAGAATAAGCTCGATAAGCTGCAGCTGCCCCAAACATACCTATACATTGTAATCATTCGAACTCGGCAATAACCATACATTTTTCCCTTTTTTTCAAATGTTTCCTCTTAATTTTTTTTTTTGTCGTAATTCATTTCTCACTTCTATCGGAATGAGTGCTCGATTCCCGTACTATATTAAGATGCTAATCTGTTCATCAGCCTTAATTAATTTCATTCTTTGTTGTTATTTATTAGTTAGTTGAAGATGAATGATCTAAATAAAGGCTTCCAGGACAATTCCCAGGAAGAAAGTTAGTTGAATCTTTCCTATTTATTATTATTTTTTTGGAAATTTATTTACATACCATACAAATTTTATGTATTTACATATCTAACACCCAACTTTGATATTTACATCTATAACATTTCGGTGTCATAAAATTTTACAAGAAAATGTGTATTGCATTTTTAAAAGATAACGATGAACTAATAATGATATTTTTGATGTGATATAACGTAGATAAGAATGTATAGGTGTTAGATGTGTAAATACATAAGAATTGTGGGATACAAATGTAATTGCCTCTTTTTGTTTGTGTGTGAGAGGGAGGGAGGGGAAAGTCGGTGAGATGGGCATAAGCTTGTCCAACTACCTTTCATAGACACCGCATCCACACTAATGTCACCATATTTATTAACACCCTGTTTCATACCCTATTTATTTACAGGGTTGTTTACATACATACCACCAAAAACATTGCTATTTACAAATCTATCACCCTCATTTATCTATTTTCCAAAATTTTACTCAAATATCAACATTCAAAATAAACCTAAAACACATATTTTCTATATTTTTATCGAAATCTCAACTGATTAATCGTGCCACACATAAACACATGAGTTTTTTAATTCAAAAATATCACATGAGTGCTAAATTTTATAAATAACAATATTTGGTGTGCTATTACGTAATTATCCCTTAAAATAATCATTCATAGTTCTTTATTATAATCGTTAATTAGTAATAAGAACATATGAAAACATTTATGGAAACCACAAACAACTCTTTGATCCAATGCTTCCTGTTTTTCCGACCGTTTGCCAGCAATAACATTTGATATTTGCATGTTTAACATCTAAATTTAAAGTTTTAGGTGTATTTTATTTATTCATGAAAAGAGTGTATTAGAAAATTCACGGCGTTAGAGTAATAGTCTTTGCGCTGCATGAGAATTCAACACAAATTCATGTAAAATAAAATAACTAATAATGATATCAAACTAATAATGATATCAAAAGTTATTACATGGAAAACCTGTAAAAAGAAAAAGATCACTGGGCGTGATCCAATTGTATAATCTACTATAGATTGATAATTACGAATATCCATTATCCCACGGACGAAAAAATGTTACTAGATTTTCCAAGTTATAACATCGACTGATAGCTTCCCAATGGTGGTTAACGGTGGTCAGTGGTCGGCGACGGTAGTGCTCGACGACGGTTGGTGGCTGTCGAAGGCGGTCGACAGTGGTCAACGACAATCAGTGGCAACTAACAGTAATCTACGACGGTCGGCGAGTGTTGACAACGACCAACAGTGGTTAGTGGAGGTCGGCGGTGACAGAGGTGAAACTCTATTTATAGTGTTTTAGGTGCAATGAATGCATGCATATAACCCACTTTGATCGGACGATTTTGAGGGCTTTTTTCGATCAAACAGTGTTTTATGTACAATTGAGAGCCTAAACGAAGTCGGAATTGTGGAATCTTGGACTCGTTGGATTTGTCTTGTCAAGACGCTCGATTCAGTTATATACTTGCTAGAATTGACATTCGTTTAAACTTCCAAATATGTCTGAAAAACTTCTCAAAATAGTTTAATTACTTGATTTGACTCAGATTGGACCAATTTTGGTAAAATTAGATTCTTCTTGTCTAGACAAATATTTTGACTGTAAGTTTGCTAAAATCAGAATTTTGTATGTTTTTATCGATGTTTGAATTTTTTTACCTGAAAAGATTGCTTTAAGATCTATGTCATACATCAAGATTCATAATAAATAATGAAAATATGTTGGAGATGTATCAATAATATTTATGAAGTTATATTGAAATTTTAGATGGTATAAATATGTAATATAAAATTTAGGTTTTAGATATATAAATACATAGTAATTGAGTGGTGTTTATGCAAACACCTCAACATTTAACAAGCACTTAATCACGTGCATGGTGTGATTAGTTAAATCAAATAAAGAATGGATGATAAATGAATGTTTTATAAAAATTAAATTAATTTTTTTAATAATATAATGTTATTTTTATATCAAATAAAATATATGAATACATAACATTATTTTGACCCATATAAACAAATTTATCCCATTATTAATATTTATAAATATGATAAAAATAGGAAAAAAATTTATTTATACACCACATAATATTTTTGAGGCACTTAAAATTTAATATTTATATTTATAGCACATTGATATCATAAATTAATAATTAAAATAAGTGAAATCATTTTAAAAAATTATATTTTATTTTCATGTAAATGTGTTATTTATTCAAATACTCTATTTAAAGAGTAGCTCTGTTTCTCCATCACCGTTTCTCCACTGAACACACGTACACACAGAAATCATGATCAGCGCCGCGTCTTCTCCCCGCGAGAATTCGCATCCGGCACCACCGCCATCCCCGCCGGAAACCGTCATATTCCGGTCAAGACTCCCCGACATTCCCATCCCCGACCGCCTCCCTCTTCACACCTACTGCTTCCAAAAACTCTCGAACTTCGCCGACAAGCCCTGTCTCATCTCCCACCCCACCGGCCGAACCTACACCTACGCCGAAACCCACCTCCTCTCCCGCCGCACCGCTGCCGGCCTCTCCTCTCTCGGCATCAAGCAAGGCGACGTCATCCTCCTCCTCCTACAAAACTGCCCTGAATTCGTCTTCTCCTTCATGGCAGCCTCTTTCCTCGGCGCCGTCGTCACCGCCGCCAACCCATTCTTCACTCCGGCCGAAATCCACAAGCAATTCACGGCCTCCGGTGCTAAGCTCATCATCACCCACTCCATCTACGTCGAGAAACTCCAATCCGGAGTCACGATAATCACCGTCGACGACCCGCCAGAAAACTACTGCCTTCCGTTCTCTGTTCTCACCGCAGCCTCCCACGCCGAAACTCCGCCCGTAATTTCCATCTCGGCAGACGACGCCGTCGCGCTTCCCTACTCGTCGGGAACGACGGGGCTGCCGAAAGGAGTGGTTTTGACTCACCGGAGCTTGATAACTAGCATCGCGCAACAAGTAGATGGAGAAAATCCGAATCTTTTTCTGAAAAGCGATGATGTGGTGCTCTGTGTTCTTCCCCTGTTTCATATATTTTCGCTCAACTCTGTTCTTCTCTGTTCGCTGAGATCCGGGGCGGCGGTGGTGATAATGCCGAAGTTTGAGATCGGGGCGATGTTGGAGTTAATTGAGAAGTGTAAGGTGACGGTGGTGGCGGTGGTGCCGCCGTTGGTACTGGCTCTGGCGAAGAGTGCGATGGTGGAGAGATTTGATTTGAATTCAATAAGAATCGTAATCTCAGGGGCGGCACCGCTCGGTGAAGGGCTCCAGGCGGCCCTCCGCCGCCGGCTGCCGCCGGGGAGGGCCCCCGGGCGCCCCCCCCCCCCCGCCTGCCGCTTGCCGTCATCGGCCAGGTGTGTGTTTTAATCTTATTTGTTTTTATTACAATATACATATATTATTCATTTCGGAAAAAAAAATGTGACCTTTAAGGTGTAGTACTGCCAAAGTAGTTGTCCGGACTGTTAATACGAGGTGTTTTAGTTCCAAGACGGTGTCTGTTACCATACATTTAAGAGGATCCGGTCAAATACAAGAAATAAATTACATAATTATGCTTTAATTTTTGCATTTTCTTTTTATTAAACTAAGATATATGATTAGATTTAAAAGATCTAACTCAGAAATAAATTTATGTCAAACTTATCAATTGGATTTAATCTTAATTGAATCAAACATCATTTCGGATTTAATTATATTTAGATTTGATAAATTTGAATATAGTGAATCCTATCCTTAATATTTATAGAAAATGACAAAATAATTTGACACTTCTTAAATTAAGGTTGAAATAGTCATCACGAAGGATCAATATATCTTGATTTTAAAATAGTCGTGATTATTTTGATTCATTGCAGAACGAACGTATTTCCCCGTAGGTTCGACTGGGAAGGGGCGAAGGCAATGGAGTTTAAACTGATATTGGCTAAAGATGAAATTGTTCTCCCACATTAGTAAAAATTTCAATTTGAGAGGGAATCAAATACCATTTGGATCCTAAATGGGTCCGTCATTGATTTTGACACTTGTATAAACTCTAAGATTACAACTATATCGTGCAAATAATATAGAGCTCTTTTTCCATTTTACTCTCCCATATTTGACCTTTTATTTATTTATTTATTTAATTAAATTTATTTTTTCCAATCGGTTTTAATGTCATTGTTTCCATTCCCCCAATTAAATGCCGGCCCGTGATTTAACGAGAAAATTAAAGGTCGGCCCATTAATTTATAATGCCGGCCGAGAAAACGAAAAATATAATATTTTTTTTTAAAATTTATAAATACGAGTATAACTTGAAATTTGCGTTAATAAATATAATAATTCATAAATTAATGGTCCAACGCATATTTTATTTCAGAAAAAAACCATAAAAATGCTTAATTTGTTAGTTTAGAATTTAATTTTTCAATCAATAATTTCTGTTTTCAAGATTATTTGATAGTAAATTCACTCAAATAAAAAAAAATAATAATAAAACTAAAATTTTAAAAAAAAATTCTTTAAGATTACCGCAATTATATGTAAATCCAGATCTGCAAAACAGACACACCAATTTCTTCGATTTTTTATGCTGAAAGAGCTTTGGATATATTTGTAAATACAAAATTGCAATGTGATAAAAAAATGTTCAGGGCTATGGGATGACCGAGGCTGGGCCGGTGTTGTCGATGTGCCCGGCGTTTGCCAAGCATCCCACCTCCTCCAAGTCCGGCTCTTGCGGCACTGTCGTTCGCAACGCCGAGCTCAAAGTGATCGACTCCAAAACCGGTTTTTCTCTGGGCCGAAACAAGCCGGGCGAGATTTGCATCAGAGGTGCTCAAATCATGAAAGGTCAGGCTAGATGTATAAATAATATTTTTTTGAAAGTTAAATATATAAAATTTAATATTTTGAGTGATATCTATGTAAATACTTTTTTTTAATGTAAATAATAAGGTTTATATGTTGATACATATAAATAGATTATTGTATTTTAAGCATCTTAAAAATAATTGTATAGGTTATCTTAACGATCCGGAGGCCACGTCAGCGACGATAGATGTGGAGGGCTGGCTACACACGGGCGACGTTGGGTACGTGGACGATGATGATGAGGTTTATGTTGTTGATCGGGTGAAGGAGCTCATAAAGTTTAAAGGCTTTCAGGTAACATATGACCGCTTTAATTTTTTTTTATTAATATTTAATTACTAAAAAAAAATCTCATTCGGCACGTGAATGACAAAGAAGGGAAAATTATATTATATTCATCTATGTGTTAATGTAGCTAAAATATTATAAATATAAATATAAATTTTTTAGGGTTACTTTTGTAAATACATAAGAGATGTGTGGTGTGTATGTAAATTTCCACAGAGAGAGAGAGAGAGAGAGAGAGAGAAATAAAATTATATTTCACACTACCATACCTCTCCACGATGTCTCGGTGAAAAGATCGAGGTATAGGTGTCAAGCGGCGCCATAAGTAAGGATTGACTTTCGACATTGTATGTGATGATGATCGTTGGCAGAGATTCGTCCCAGGTTAGACCATTCTCGTTAATAGATGAACTTAGACCGATCACTTTGGTAAAGAATTGAGTGTTATATATATAATTCTTCCAAAATGGAAATACATTCAAGAATGAGGTTACATTACATTAATACATGACTAATCCTATCATGAATGTTTTGCAATCTAACTATACATACTTTACAATATTCCACCACAAACTCAAGTTAGCATGTCTCAACTATATTAAAAAAAATAGAGGATACTAACCATTGTTAGATGACAACAAATGGTCTTCCTAAATCGACGCGCGGTGGATTCAATATTACAAGAAAATATTATGTATGGAGATATCCAGACGTCTAATCACAGGATGTCACATCGGCACAAATTCAAGGCCACTTGATGGGCTTGCATACATCCACACGTAATAGTTTCTTTGATATTATTGAGTACGTGACATTGAAATCAATAATCTTAGCCATGTATATAAAAACTAATGTATTGTTCTCAATTAGAAGGAGTCAATGTTGATTGTTGGAGGTTTGCAAACTTCATAAATAGATGTGGACCACATAAGACTTTTTTTTGGGCACTTACATGCATACCTTACAATTCTTATGCATTGGCATATGTAATGTCTAAACCTTACATCTGTACCATTCAAATGTTTCATATCACAAAAAAAATACTACTATTTTAAAAAGTGAAATACACATTTTTATGTTGTTGAATCCTGATCTGCACATGCATACCCAAGAAACAGAGCGTAAGATAAGAGAGCGAGAGAGAGAAAAGTAGAGAAATTGACAGAGAAGAGAGCACAATAAATGAACATTAATATGGGATAATTAGGGTCTTATTGGGCCTTTCAATCATGTTCTACTTCTAAAACGATCACCTATTTATAGATGATATGGTACATAATATGAAGTTACTTGTTTGCCCCTGTCTTAATAAAAGTATTGCTAGCTATTTATGTTAATTTACATTTATGACCTGGTTGTCCAGACTGCCGGTTATCTAGGCTATGTGTTATGTGTTGTCCATGTCGTTGGTCGTCCAATTAACAGGTTGTTCAAACTGTGCGTCATACAGGCAACCAACCGTCAGGTAGCAAGTCGTTCCGGATTGGAGTCGTCTAGGGCTGCGGGTCGTCCAGGCTATGGAATGTCCAGGTTGCGTGTCGTCCAGGCTGTGGGTTAGCTAGGCTACGGGTCGTCCAAGCTGCTGGTCGTCTAGGCAATGGGTCGTCATGGTTGGTGGTTGTCCAAGTTGCAGATCGTCTAGCCTACTGTCGTACCTCTAAGAGATTTCGTCTGACTTATTTTAGTTCCCGAACTCTCTTATCTCTTTGAAAGGCCTGAGAATAGGAAAATGAATTATAAAAATGAAACTAACTTGCTCAGTCTCTCCAAATACATGTAAAAAATTTGTTCAACTAAGAATGAGTGGGATTTTTGAAGATGTTCTAAAGCAAAGTGACTAAATAAGGTTGAAAAGGCAGATTTATTGAGTTTGAGATGCTATCATCTAACCCAAGTACTCTTCTACACCACTCAAGTTTCTATCACTCATTATGTCGTCTCATTTGGACGAACTACACCTTACACAAGACATATTAAGCAGATCTTATCACGATTTTTGCGCGGGTGACTTGCTCTTGGGATAATTTACACGCTACTTGCCGCCGCATATCATGTCACCAACGGGTAGGGAGCCACCTCCAGGGCTTGGTCTATTCTAAGTTAAGAGACATCTTTTTTTATTGATGTTTCAGCGTTGTGGGTCAGACAACCGAGTAGAGTTCAAAAAATAAAAACCATATACCCTTACTTTTTGGAAACTTGCTTGTGAAGGGCAAGTTCTGCACATGTTTGTGGAAAAATATTTCCGGTCATAATAATGAAAAAAGCTTAATGCAAAAAAAAAGGTGTGTTAAGAGAGATTTTCCTTGAACTGTCATCCATGAATTTTGTTTTTTTTGGTTTGAGGGCTATTTTATAACCTCATGAAAAGGATGATCGTGAGTTGTCCATGCTGTGTGTCTTTCAAGCTGCGGGTCGTCCAAGCTACAGATCGCCAAGATTGCCAGTCTTCTAGGCTATAGGTTGTCCAAGCAACTAGTTAACCAATCTACGGGTCGCCTAGATTGTTGTCGTCCTCTGAGATATTCAATCTTTACATATTTTTGGCATACATCTGTATAAATAAGGTGACATATATGTAAAATTTAAAGTTGATGCGTAAATACTGTTAAAACTCAGAATAATGTGGTGGAATACACACCTTTTCATTGATATGAATGTGGTTATAAATAACCCTTACAATAATCTTGTAATAGGAAAAATAATAAAAGGTAAATGATATGAAAGGAAGGGTATAACACTTAGTATCTCCAATAATTAATTCGCATTAATTATTAGGAGATATAGGAAACAACATAAAATAGGGAAATAAATATCTCATTAATTCTAAGGAAATAATTTATTTACAAGAATAAATTATTTCCTAACATAACTCTAATTCTAAGGAAATAATTTATTTACAAGAATAAATTATTTCCTAACATAACTCTAATTCTAAGGAAATAATTTATTTATAAGAATAAATTATTTCCTATCATAACTCCTAACATCTCTTTATCCTCGATCATCACGACACCATCATGCCATTTGTAAGACGAATCAATGCCACCGATCGAAAGGTCTACGCCACCCGAACGCTGCTCTTCCTCAACAATGACAGCACCCTGAAACCCCTCGCTATTGAGCTTAGCCTCCCCCATCCAGGTGGCGATACTTTTGGCGCCATAAGCACTGTATACACGCCCATGACTTCCGGTGTTGAAGGCTCAATTTGGTCGCTTGCCAAAGCCTATGTCATCATCAATGACTCCTGCGTTCATCAGCTTATTAGCCACTGGTATTTGTTCATCAAATAATCAAACATAAGTTTAAGAATTGTTTACATTGTAGCTAGAATCCTTCGTGGCAGGCTGCGCACTCACGCAGTGATGGAACCCTTCGTGATCGCCACAAACCGCCACCTGAGCGCGATGCACCCCATCAATAAGCTCCTTTTGCCACACTACCGCGACACCATGAACATAAACGCTCTCGCTCGACAAAGCCTCATCAATGCCGGCGGCCTACTCGAGTTCATCATTTTTCCTTCCAAGTACACTATGGAAATGTCCTCCTCTGTTTACAAAAGCTGGAATTTTGTCGAGCAGGGCCTTCCATCCGATCTCCTCAAGCGAGGAATGGCGGGGGGCAGCCAACCCCCAACCGACCAC